TTGCACCCCCAATGCTTAAAAGAGACGTGAAACTCTTGGAAAGAGTCCGAAGTTAGGAGACAAAAGGAGTGGTTGGTCTCCGAAATAAACCATATAATGGAAGGCTAAAGAAATTAGGCCTATTCACACTTAGCTACCGTCGGCTTAGAGGGAATTTGATTACTGCCTACAAAATAACAAATGATCAGAATCACCCAAACAAAGGTGTTCTGCCATTAAGTAGGTATAGGCTTCCTTGTGGAAATCGCAGAACGACAGATCATCAAAGGGCAGAGACTCGGTTGAGCTCCCACGTCTTTTCACTGCATGTGTACCATCCCTGGAACTCCTTACGGGCAGATGTAGCCACATCAACGTCCGTGGACAGCTCTAAGCGAAGGTTGGATAATCCTGCAGCGATACAAGGACTGCGTCCAAATGGCCTATCCCCTGAAATTCCCATACGCCATTCACGGGTAGACACCTCAATTCGTCATTTCACTTCTATATATTCTCTCCCGTATTTCTCTTCTGACAACTCCAACTACTATACCTTTTATTATTATGGCTGATATTATATATAAATAAACTTCAAATTTAGTTAGCTGTCTGTACGTTTTTACTTTATTTCCTTTTCTGTCTTTTAGTCTGAATAGCCTATACTTATTATATCTATTACTATCGCTTACCTTTTGACGACGATACCGGAGGACCAACTGGTGAAAGGATCAACTCGATTCACAATAGCAACAAAGTCTTAACAAACCGCATACTACAAACAACATATAGTTAATCCCAGCACTACTCCTTTTGGAGTCAACCAAAGCTACGACAGTCGAGTGGCGGGACGAACTACGCAGAAGTTTACCGAGGATCAGGAACCTTTACCTTACAATCAAGCGGGCACAAAGAAATCAAATTGGTTTATACTAGCTCGTAAAACCGATATTAGATCCTGGAACCCCAACTTTTTATCCTTTTCAAATATACTGCTTTTCAGGGCATACTACCAATTGACGGAGTCCCTTTGATTTGCGTTTGTTATCAGATAAAATGCGGAAGTCAAAAACAATAGCAACCAAGCAAATTCGTCATAAACCAAACTTATGTAATTTAAATAATACAGGTCAAATTAGAGCTTGCAGGAGGCATCTACACGCTTTTTCAGAACAGATGGCTGAATGTTATCACAAACTGTGACCTACCAGAGGTGAGGTTTTGCGACTTCTCTGCTACCATCTCAAGCTTAATTGGGAATGTATCCATTGGGTTTACTCCACGGCAAATTAGCAGTGTGTTGCTGTTTAATTGTCTGTGAAAGGTCGAACCAGATACTTTAGAGATTACCAAACTAGAGGTGTGCTGACCACATAGACCTAATGTGCATGCCCCCTGGTCGGCAGCTTTTCTTTCCCGCATGAATCGGCATGGTCTCTCCAGGTTTTCCAGGGGTTTCCTGACATGACTTGCTCGGAATGACCTCCTGTCTCATCTGACCCTTGCGTTGCATCGGTTACTGAGTTCTAAGTATGCCTCATAGTCAGTCTCACCCATGGACAGTTGGTATGGGAACAAAGCTGGGCTTATAGAATACTCTGCCTATCTGAAACCATGATGATTGTTTCCCAGGTCGAAGAGTGACCATACGAAGGGTATCTGAGACCCCAGCGTCAGTGATCACCCTCACCGCTTCTTAATGTTCCTCTATTAATAGTTCAGCTCAACCTGAAAGCCATTATGTATCTCCATAAAATGCCTCCACTTTTGTGTGTACCTGCCTTTGATATGGCAGAGACAGGGTGGCGTAACATCCCATTTTAAGCAGTCACAAGAATCAGATTAAACACTATGATCGCATAGTCACTTTTACATTTAAGGGGGTTGGTCTGGAAGTTTTATACAAACAACTTGCCATTAGTTAGGACATAGTCCAGTTTGGAGTCAAGTTAACCTAATTTCGCCTGTAATTTATTTACCTGTGTTTGAATGTCGTGAATGGGGCAGGCTAATTTAGAAAGCCCAGAGTTCTATAATAAAATATCTGGTTAGGTGGTCTATATCTATTCAGTTACCAAAGAGGCACAGAAGCGACAATGACTTCCGAACGGTCAGTTTAGAGAAGCCAAGTAGATGACGTTACATTCATGAAAAAACGTTCTTCATAACATGTTATGATATTAAAGGGCCACTTGATAAGTTGTAGATCGGTTTTAGGAAAGATTATGTTCACGTTTGCGTCAGGGACAGGTTAGGGTCAGGTAAACCTATTTGGGCGGGTATTTAGGCCGGCGCAAGTTAGACTAGAGTCAGGGTAAGAGGACCAAACTTATCTTTCAGCGGTATGTCTACTTTCAGAGTCACTGGTGTGTGCATAGAACTTCGGTGCCCATAGTTTAACCTTGCCATAAATAATTCCCAATTATTTTAACATAGTGGACGTCAGTTTACAGGAGTTACTAATATGTGAAATCATAAAATGTAGTGTGCGGCTATTTACATCCTACCAGCAATCACGTATGTATATAAAACAAAGATGACATATCACCGTACATTCAGAGTTGGTGCGGTTGCACCTCTTGGATGCCTAAAGTTTAAGTTCCCCTTAGTTTTAATTATGTGGCCTCGAATATGAATTTAGGAAACTGTGTCTATCTCTGAAGCCTAGAAAATGCAACTCTTAGATGACTGAATGTGGTGTACTTTCCTTTCTGAATTGACGTCAACGCTCATTTAGAAACAAGTCAATTGAAACATGGACATATATTTTGATGTTATGTAAGGATAATAGTATTAAGGCACTACAAGAGTCAAACATTTCTTATTCTAGGTATTTGATAAGGTGGACAGTTCGTTATATCCGGATTTTTAAGAAGAACAGCACTTTCAGCCTTGTTTGGTGAAATGAACTGTCTTCATTGACATGGTTATATGCTGCGACAGAAATGGTAAGGTCATCGGCATATTTAATGAAGTTAGCCTTGGGAGAAGGGTCAACCACTGAGTGTGTTCGGCCCTGCTTTAAGACTCCAGACTTCAGTTAGGCCAAGCCAATGACATTATTCAACTTTGAATCTCAAAAATATCAAGTTACCGAACATGACCAATACAATATGAGGGACGGGTTAATTTTGTTTACTAGGTATTTCTTTTCGAAGTTCTTGTTCCAAACTGTCACGAGTCTTTTCCTATTTCATGCGTCATGCTCAGCACAGTAAACAATGTCTGCAAACTGACTTTAGTGTTAAGAGTACTTCTTTGTAATCCGCAATCACAGTTTACTGGAACATGCCCTAATGATTATGCAAAGACAACAACACTCCGTGGCTCGCTTACAGAGTTTGCTTTTGAGGTCTAACTACATTAGACTTCATGTTATGCTAGAGTCGACAGCATAAGACGTGAACTGATGCACACCTACTTCTAGACATCCGAATTGTAACTTGAAGCCATGAATGTCTTGCTGTTAGAAGGCGGCGTTTCTGTCGATCTCTTATTCGAAATGGCGGTATCCTATCATGTTTCTCACTAGAGGATGATTATCTGATATTTTCTACCTGGAAAAGCGACACACGTAAACGAGAACCTAGTGCTTAGACCACCGAAAACCCGGACAAGTTGAGGAAAAAACAACGTGAGAAGCTGCCACGAGGTGAGATAGGATTTTACCTAGCTCTGACCGGCAACAGGTGTTTACTCAACCGCCTCGGGGGAACTTTGCTATATAAAAAGAACCTTACAAATCACAAAGAAGATATAGTTCCTACTTGACTGCTTATCTCGTCCTTATGTCTTCCTTAATCACTGACTGCCTCTGAGTGAGAGAATTGTTGTTTAGGTCCTACAATGTTACTAAATCAAATGGCATTCTAACTTCACTACTAAAACGCAACTAGTATCAGGCAGATTGTAAGCCTTAAGTAGAAGTAATAACTTGAAGGCCCTTTTTTACCAGGTAACTAGTTTGTTACTTATCTTGTAAGAATGTGATATTTGTCAATAAGAAGCCATCATTTTGATTCTTTCAATTTCACTACGCTATGTAACAATGTAAAAACCGCATATACTTACCAAAACAGAAGTAAACATAATATTTTTTATTATCTTGGCAGGTTCACATATGCGGTGAAACTTCATAAACTACTGAACCCTGTGAAGATGGCTGTTTCCTAAATTGACATGACAGTGCTTGAATTATTGAAGCACCTGTCTAACTCTTTATACAGTAGGCTGAATCGTGAGGGATATGACATGGAGTACAATTTTCGATTTCACTGATTCTATTTTTAGTGATTTGCGTTCGGTGCACCCAACTCATCTGAAGTGCTATTGGCGAGTTTATCTCTTCCTTCGTCAAATTTCATCCCAGAACAATTCTGTGTTCTGTTAGGATGACTCATATTTCTTCCAGTGAGGATCCAAAACCTTCAAAATCAGGTTCCTTCCAGTGTATCCTACGTCAGCTTATTTCCTGGGACATATTTAGACAGCTAGCTGAATAATGATTCCATACTTCTCCATATATTGAGTTTTAGTACCTAGGCCAGTTTTATACCTTGCTGTCTACATTTGTTGTTTTCTTTCCACTGATTTCCTTAGCTGGCTACTGAACAATTAAAACCAGTCAGATTTCTCATGAAAGTGCATGATATTCGCGTATATTGGCAGTGCTAAAGTACATGGGATAAACTTGCAGACATGGAATCTTCGCATTCTGAAACTAAGATTCAGCTGATATCATTTTCCAGTCAGTTGAGTGAATTTCTCTTCTTAATTCTGACTTTCTGGTCTAGTATAAGATAAAACAGTGGCTGACAAATATCTAACTGAATAAGTGTTACTTCTTGATTCACACATGCACATATCAGAAGCTGTGAGCTGAGTCTCTGTTTAGTGGAAGGAATTTCTCAGAAGATGCGTAATAAACTAGGAAGAATATATGGATGACGAAATACAGTTCCAAACAACAGTTTACGACCAGAGCATTCTGACTTTGTCGTTTGTTTACACCAACCACTTAAATGCCGACCTTCAGCCATCTAGGTCAATCGGATGATACATAGAACGATTGGTTGCATTTATAATGACTTTGTGTAGAACGTAGTTCAACATCGAACGTCTATTTCTGCATATCGTTTCTTCTCATATTAAAGTTGTACTTCACTGCAGTTGGTGTCCAGACAGCTATGATACAGGACTCTGAACCTCCTAGCTTGCTTTCCAGCACAGCTGATTCGGTAAAATCCAGTGAAATGCAAAAGAAAATACGCCGCAAACATTTTAAAAACGATTCTGCTGTCAAGGGTTTGTCACTTAGTTACAAATTTCATCTTGTTCAGCTTACAAATGTGATTTAATCAGTCAAAATATCAATACTCCTGTGAAGTTATATGTTTGTCACTCTGCTCTAAATTTGGTTCATCGTCCGAAGCGAAAGATAATGGTATGAACTTAAATTATTACATTTCACTGTTAGACTACTCTGCCTTACAGTCAAGTTGTCGAACTTAAAATACATGATGAAAAGTTCGTGAAAATATATACAGTCAGTAATGTAAGTCAGTTTTTGCTAAGTACTATATTACATTTTATTACATTTATTCTTTGCTTAACGACAACTTCATTTTATACCTGTGACTAATGTAAGCTTCTGTTTTTTTATATTAAAGGAAATGTACACTCTTACCAACTTTGACCGACCGGATTCTGCGATTGCTTTTCTCCGAAATTATTGGGAAGTTATTTTGAAAGAAAAAGTAAGCATATGTATATTGTTTCCTTAAAAATACATTAATTTTCGAGTAACTTTTCAAAGTCAGAAGGCTGATTGGAGTCCCTGAGTTAAACATCTTTTTCATGGTCCACAACAAATTATTTATTTTTTCCTGCGATTTCATGGTGTATGAACATTTCTGCATTATCTTTAAGACTATGAAGTGGCGCTAACTAACTTGCACGGAACTCCACAAGTGGACTTGCAAGAGTCTGTGACCATCTGTAATCACTGTAAGAACCATAACCAGTAAAATTGATTTCATCATCATATGTTCATAGTTTCCTCAAACAGCAGATTCACATGATTATCAAGGAAGTTTGGTAAATGTGTTGCTGCGGTCCTGGGTTATTTTGGACACCATTATATATAACTAATTGTTCCTACAAATGTGTAGCGTTCATTCAGGAGTACTTATGACAAATTCAACATTTGATTTTGGAGTCGCTACTTTTTATATTTTCGTCCAGTGGCTTAGGAAGTATCAGGAATGAAATAAGTGATTAATTATAAATATCGGATTGATCATTAGCCGGCATCAGTTGGAGACCTTAAGTCTCGAACTAGGACAAAATATCTGTCCAGTACTCTCAGGTTTTCCAGTGGTTCTATAACTGATGTCAGTTCATGATCAATTCTGTAACCAACCAAACCCGTTCACACCAACACTTGATAATTATAAATACATTTCAGTGTAACTGAGCTCTAAATTTAATGAAATCATAGCATCTATTTGCAGTCAACTTTAGAGATATACAACTACTCATATTATGGCATCGGTTGCTTAGTGGTAGAATACTCCCCAACCGCGCCACACGTCTGGAGTTTGGTTTTCGGATGATGCACTCCTAGACTTCGCTTAGTCCGTAGTAAACTCAGTAGAGAGAGAAGGTTGGGCGTGTAGCTAGCAACTCCACCTCATGAAAACAAGCGTCACTGCTACTGACACTTCAAAACTCAAGCTTAGTGCCCTATGTTCTACTGAGAACGCAAAGGAAAACGAAAAAGACTCATATCATAATATATTAGGTGGTATCTCCCTAGAGGAAAAAGTTGTGTAGGTTGATAATATTAAGATATATCTCAGCAGCTACTATTGTGTTTGAAACGTCGTCCAGTAAATAACAAGTACTCAGTTAATAAATTAATGTTGAATTACACACTACCCCAGTGGACAAGTTTTATGCATTAACTTTCCCGTTGACTGACTGATATGTATGAATCTATGCTGGTATCTTTAAGTTATTGTTTAATTTATGTAATAATTTTTGGCATCATGCTAAGCTTATCCAGCTATCTCTAACTTTTTTATATGACTCAAAGCAGTAGTTTGTTGTCCACCTTTGTTTCTGCATCATTTCAGAGTATGATTTAACTCTATTAATTTATGGTTCATTTTTATTTCTTGTCTTGTGACCCCATTGCGTATATATTCTTCAACTCATTTTGCAAAAATGAAAAATAGGATGAGTAAAGTTTTTGCATGGTCTGACTATTTTTTTCTGTTAAACATCAAATATTACGCTAGTTTTTCCTACATCCTATCTACTTTATTGCTCTCAGTAAATAAAAATGAAATGTTTTTGTTCTCTGCATGTTTATACACTTTAAAGTAGCCTTCCATTTTTTTTGTTGGGATTGATGAAACTTCTTGCCTTCTTGATATTCTGTGGGTGAAGTGAGGTTAGAACATATATGAACCACAGCTTCTAATGTTTTCGTCCTTGTAGTAGTCTTGTTGGATTATCTGTAAGTTCCGTTCTTACTAAATACTAGTGGATTCCTCTTCAGTAGCTGGATTGTTGATGGGCTCGCTTCTCCACCTGAAGTCCGTGGATTCGATGCTAAGTGGGGTCATGTGTGCATACTGCTTAAGAGTCCCAAACTAGGTCCAGTATTTCCTGTTTTTCAGTGGTTCTCTCAGTAATGTCAATGCGTTATCTAATTTCTTGAAATCAATCAAATCCTTATGAAGTGACGCTTGGAAATACAAATGTTGAAGATTCTTTGAAGAAATACTCTTCTATCTTTAGTATCACAATATAACGGTTGATTTGTTCATCCATGAACTAGGGATAAATACTTTGACTACCCATCGTAATTTCTCACATTAATTTACAAACTAAAGTGTTGAGAAATCTATATTATATATTAGTAAGTTCAGAAGTGGTATACTTCCAGTTTTTGAATAGTGAGATGAAAACGACGTATTCTTATTAGTAGTTGAGGTTAATTTAGAAGATGAATCATTGAAAAGTTCTGTTTTGTTTTGATGCTGTGTCATTTTAACTTCAACTACATTGGTGGACCGTATGATGGTCCTTCAATTCAATAATGTTATTAAAATGGCATTAGCATAGTATAGAGAAAGCTTTTAAAGTCAACTTTTGTCTGCACCTAAAAGATGTTTTGTAAGCTTCATCAGGTGATATTAACTCGGACCATAATATAATTACAATTGGCATTTTGACAAGATGTCACAAGGTACTTCACAGGTGGATCAGTATATAAGCATCAGCATCGTATGACCATGCATAGTTGCATATCGAGCCAACTGGATAGGGTGAAAAAGTTAGCCTATATAAGGGAAGTGAAGATACACATTGAAGAAGACAGTTAAATCAAAAACATGAAAGGGCACAGGGAAGAGAATGATAATAAAATTTATCTGATTTATTGATATGAATGGATTTTCTCCTGTGTGATTAGTTTTATCCCATAGGGAGTCACGTATATCAACGTAGAACTCTACATATCTGTACAAAGTTTTATGTTGAAAACAGTCACGTATTCTTCATTAAGAATAAGATGCTTTGAAGCTGAGAAATCATAATTTATCGTGTGTAGCTGTTGCAATCATCAAGTAGAAAGAGAGAGAGAGGGAGAATGTTTAATCAACGTTTGCGTGTCAGTCTCTTATGACACAATTCTTTGTAGCCTTATTCATTCACTCAGCTGTTTTGTCCTATTTTGGGGTTCTTCATCAGTATGCACCCGCTGGGGTTCGAATCCATGACCTTCCTGTTCCGTAAAAGTTTTTGAGAAAGAAATCGTCATGTGCATTATCATTTTTCTAATTGAACAAATGGAACGTTAACTATCTCTTAGGCATGGTTTAATAAATAAACAATATAAATCTGTAGTGAAAGCTCCATTGAACCGTGTATGTGTTGCTCTTTCTTAGCTCATTATCATTTTCTATTTCACGTGAACTAAAAACAAACCAGACAATTGTCAAATGGTGATTTCAAATGTATTCTTCTACTTCTCTAAACTATGTTATTATTATTATTGACCATAGAATCGGACCATATTGTCATTATAAACTAATCAATTAGAGTTATCGAATTTATCTAGGGAATGTTTGATTTTATGTCAGAAACTCTTATTATAAATATATATATATATATATATATATATATATACATGCATATATTGGAACCTTTATCTATGCAGTACTTCGACTGATCCATTCAAAAGTATGTTGGTGTTTATGTGTTTTTTAAAATTATTTTATTTATCAATCCTCATTGGTAAGGTATTCGTAATCACTGGGCAATGGGCTTGAATGCTGTTTCACCTACTGGGGTTATTTAGGCAGCCGGATAGTAGTATTATTAGACCTTATACAGGTTTACCACCTTACCAGCTGCTAGCTGCATAGAAGTGCAGGTGATTGTTGAGTGTTACTTCTCCGATAATTTGTATTATTATCATGCTTAGAGTGAGTATGATGCATGAGCAGACGTGAAGAATATGTATGTGCACTATTAGGTATCATATCAAGTAACAATGGGTTAGTGGTTTATCGTTAGAATTCTCTCCAACTACGACGGTGGTCCGGATGTAGCTCCCAACCGACGCGCTACTAAACTTCTGGCTGATAGTATTATTGAAGAAGATAGAAGTTCGAGTTTGAGGTTTACGATCCTACTCCGTAAAAACCTGAAATCCCGTATCCCACTCAGAATCCAAGAAGTGCAAAAAACACTCCAATTGACTACACTGACTTATCAAATCAAATCCCAGCGGATAAAGCAGACAATACATACTTTTTCCAGAAGCCTAGAAGTTAGATTGTTATTTTACAAGGGGAGGGGAAGTTCAAGATTTTCTTGTAGTGTATGCAGCTAACAAAATGTGCCATTGTCTAAACACCGATGCATCTTCACTTTCAATAATGACTATTGAAAACATTTATTTCCCGATACGAATTTAAAACAAGCAGCAAAGGTTAATAAAGCAGGATTTAATGAATTCATCAAATTTCGGTAGAACTCGTCAGCTGAAGCCGGTACCTAGCAGCAACATATACAAGAAACGGATGTATACCTAAGATATGTTGATGACATTTTTATTGTCTGTGGAAGCAGATCAAAAGCTGAAGACATGTTGATAAAATTCAACTCATGCCATCCAAATCTCAATTTCACAATAGAACACGAGGAAAACTATACTATTAAATTCCTAGACGTTTTTCTAGCGAAAATGAATGATGGCACAATCGAAAGATCTATATTTAGAAAGTCTTCATGGACAGGACAGTACATGCATTTCAAGAGCTTTGTTCCAATCCAGTTTATAAAAAGAACTTAGTCAGAACACTGTTCAATAGAGCACGAAAAATTTGTTCTGACAGTACTATTGAGCATGAAATAAAAGCTCTGAAGGATATTTTATCTAAGAATGGATATCCTGAGAAGTTCATTAATAAATACTCTAAAGAAATTACCCCCTGCAAAACTATCCAAACAGTTCCGAAGAAATCTGTCTATATCAGTTTGCCATTCAAAGGAGATGATGTACAGGAAGTAGTCAAACGAAGACTCAACAAAGCTATCAAGAGAACTTATTATGCTGCAAAACTTGTTATCCTTAACACCACTAAGCGAGTGCTTCAACAATCTGGGAAAGATCAGTCGCCAATCCTGGACACTTCAAACTGCGTATATCAATTTGAGTGGGTTTGTGGAAGCAAATACATAGGTCGTACAGAAAGGCGATTGTCTACTCGCATGATGGAGCATTTGCCAAAATGGTTGAAAACAGCTGAGTACAAAGTGCCAAAAACCTCAATAACAAAACATCTTGTGGACTATGGACATGATATCGACGCTGTCAAGTCATTCACTATTGTCAGGAGACAAAGAAACAGGAAGATGCTTGCAATTGCAGAGGCTTGTGCAATTCGAGTTTATAAACCCGGTGGTCTCTGTGTACAAAAGGAGATGGTCGTCATTCTGAATCTACCATGGTAATACGTTTTACTTATTATTCTACCTCTTATTATTATTATTGATTCATTTAAAACTATCCTTAATCAGTAACATTACCTTAACTCACTTCAACATTATTGCTATTATAACTATTACTATTGATATTACTCTGTTTGCAATTCTCGTTATATTCTCTAATGACTAATTGTTTATCTAAGTGATGTAATTGAAGCGTAATGCAATTTATCTTAATTTTGATCTCTCATACTCCCTCTCCCCTCATTTATCTATTTGAACATGACCTGGAAAACATTCGCACCTGTCTTTCTGCATGACTAATTCAATGTAGTTTATTTGCTTATCAGTCTTATATCTCCCAATGTAATTTCAAAAGTATATATATATATATATATATATATATATCCGTGTATATAGAACATTCACTTGAGGAAGAGTTTTACCAAAATTTGATGAATTCATTAAATCCTGCTTTATTAACCCCTCTGTTGCATGTTTTAAATAATGACTATGTACACAGTCCTTATTTACTTGGTTAACTTCAGTCTTATGAATGATACATTTTCAATTAAGTTTATAAGAATATTGGAAAAGTATTTTATACAGTGTCATAATGATACGTGTAGGTGTTTGTCACTGACACGCACGCACGCACGCACACACGCACGCATTCACTCACTGTCTGTAGTTGTAAGTGTTGTCCTTTGCTCCTTATTGCTTTATTCGATGCTAAAATAATTACTTCCTAATCATAATCGATGACCGCTGGGGGATGGGTTGGTGGTAGTTAGTGTCAGGAAATGGGATATTATCCGCATTTTTAAGCTACAAATCTTCTCTGTTATTCCAAAGGGAAATCGAGTTTGTAACTTCTCACAATCATCTATTTCATGCCATTTCACATACGGTATGAAACAGGTATAATAATAAAATTTTAAGATGGGATAGAAAAATAATTTCAATCTTATTGGAAATTATTATCTCTAATGATGTTTTTTTCTTTTCCTTCACGTTCCCCAGTAGAACATAGGGCTTCAAGCTAGTGGCTTGAATTTTCTGTAGCAGTGTTTATTTTTACAGGATGAGGTTGCTAGCCTCATGCCCAACCTTTCCTCTTCACCAGCACTATTTCTGGCTTAGCGAGGTAAAGGAGTGCGCCGGCCGGGAATCGATCCCCGGACCATATGCATGGTTGGCGAGCGTCCTAACTGTTATGCCGCCGACGCAGCTAATGATGTTAATTTATCCTTTTCTCCTCTTGAATTGATGTCAACTACCTTTTATAAGTTTTATTAGATGACACAAGCAGAGTGCTGGATTAATAAATGGTGGTCGCATTCATACTTTTCTGATAGGGAGAGCAGTACACTGTATGTGTAATGGGAAGTCTTTCATTGCTTTACTTTACCAGTGTTCCCCAAGGTGCTGTTCTTTCTCCTTTTCTGTTTTCTTTCTTACATAACTTGCCTCATTCTGATGAAGCCAATCTTGTTAAGTATGCTGATGATGTAAATTTTTCCAGGCCGGTTACCTCTCAATCAGATTGTTCCAAAATGAATAACTTTTTATTAGAAAATTAGTCAGTATTCCTTTTCAAGTCATCTTAAGCAAAATCGCTCCAAGTGTGAAATTGTTAATTTCACTTTCAGACACGAACAATGCATAAATGAACTGGTTTTTCCACATTGTTCCTGTATCATCACAGAAAGTGATGAAATTGAAACTAAGTCCAGTGTTGAATATCTTGGATTATTTGCAATTAGTAGTGTTCTCTGAGCTGGTTGGTTTAGTTGCGAAGCTTTCGTCGTCCTTCTGGACAACATCTTCAGCGCCATATTTAGCACAAAGTGAAATGATTTAAATTTCTTCATGAGTGATATAATTGCGTCTCCTGGTAACTATCTTTACATATGTATTGACCAACCAGCTCAGAGAACACTATTAATTGCAAATCATCCACCTGAGCTACAAATCTTCTCTATTATATCTTGGATTATGTATTTCCTCTGATTTTCCTTGATCTTCTCAATCATGTTAATTTCTAGAAAGACAGTTTGGTGTCACTCAGTCTCCACTTTTACGGATTTTTAACTCTTATATTCTATCTGTTCTTCTTTATTGCTCCTCCTCAATCTAATTTTTCTTGGTTTATTTAAGAAAGACTTTGTTTCACTGCGAATGGCACTAAAAGCTATCGCGTTAGGGCTAGTGGAGTACCAACCAGTAAAACAACTTGTTGCAGATAGATATTTGAACTCATACCAAAAAAGTGGTGAATATTATCTTGTCCGACTCTGTGTATGCTCTCCATGCACAAGTCTCATCTCCCTGCATCTCATCAGGTAGAAATAGAAGCAAATAAATAAAAAAAGAAACTATGCTCGGACAACTAAATATAAAAACTCTACGATATCTTAATTGGCATACATTTTATGTGATGAGGAAATTGTCAGGTGTAAAGCTACCAGCTTACTGTGAAACAGCAAATAATCATCGCCTTTGTATTCTTTCTGTTATTCATATATTGTTGTCAATATTTCTATTTATTTTTTTAATTTTATATATTTATACTTTTATTGACATTGTTATCATTATAAATGTCTTGTTAATTATTCCCCAACCCTCCTTACTATGTATTTCAAAGAGGATTACATGCAGTATTGTACTACATGCTGAAATATCCCCATTATTTGGAATGGAAGTCATTATTAGTAGTATTGGTAAACTAAAAGCTAACTTATGTGTTAAATTTATAAATTCGTATACATATATATATATATATGTATTCGTTTTGTTGATGTCTGGTTTAGATCTTTGATGATGATGATGATGACTGACAGTGAGCACGAAACACCGGTCCAGGACTTCCCGCCAACGGCCTGGGAGCACTTAACATCAATTCATCAAAGTGCAACTCAATACTGAGTTACCCAGCTTAATGACCCGACGCTGCAAACTTGACTGGTAGAATTTAGTCAACAGCAGCATTAGGGACTGTCTCTGTCTGTCTCTCCGTCTAGAATCAACATAGAACTTGGCACCGAAGTGCAGCAGTTCGCGTTGCCATGTTCCAAATAGCATACAAAGGTAGACAAGAAGATGAGTGAAGAGAATCAATAGAGTTTTGACAAGTATGAGTGAAACAGATTGAGTAATGGTAGAAAGGAATATGAAAGATTACAGAGACTGAATACATCTGCGTAAGCCATTGACAACGATTTTGAGCTATGTCACCTATTGTCTCCAGCCATTGATTCTTAGAGTCCCGAGGGCCCCAACCAACCCGGAAGTCTGCATCTCCCTACCTGACTCAGTTTAACTGTCAAGGATTTCATGGATTGATGAGGCCATGTTTTTGTTTGGCCATCACTTACTCTTTTCCAACCTGCACCTATATCAGCTAGTAATGCCCCTCGGGGGAGGCGATGTTTAGGCATGCGCAGCACGTGACCTAGCCATCTCAATCTATGTAACTTTATAGCCTCTTCGATTGATTTTCCCTCTTTGCCCAACACTCTACGCCTGAGGGACTAGACATCTAATGATGATGATGATGGCTGCTCTCCAGTGATCAGTCCATGTATATTCGTATATGCATATGTTTTTTGCATTTTACAGTAGTTCATCTTGTTCTTCTTCTTTAATTTATTTGGTTTCAGACTTTTTCTACATCTACATATGGAAATTCAATGCACAATGGATTGCCCAATATTAATAATAGTAATAATAATCCTCTTTCTGCACATCGGAATGCAGTTGTCGCTGATTTGTATAATCGTCTACTAATTTCAAAAGGTTCAACTACTGTCAGTTTAACAAGTACTAGTGGAGGGGCCACGGGCAGTATAAGTAATAGTGAGACAGACAGTGTCACCGGTTCACAAAGACAAGGTAGTTTTAATATATATACATACATATATATGGTTGTATTATATTTCCTTTGTGTAGAACTTATTATGTAAGCTGGTAATATTATTATACCCTACGCTAATTACTTGCTAAGTATTGTCTTTTTGCCAGACATAATAGAGATAAAAAGAAAAAGAGAAATCTCAAGAAACTGTAATAAACGAAAAATGTATAGGAGAATCAATAATTACATGAAGAATAATGACAGACAGTCTAGTGAATATAAGATATTATGAAGGGTGAGTTCGTCTACGCGATCGAGAACCGTTTTCAGCCATTCTAACAATAGTCCCCCTAGTGTCTCAACAACTCCAGCTTGATAGTGTACACTTCCTAACGTGGTTCGAACACTTCTTGGATTGACGGTATGTATGGGGCCTGACCACCCTAACTCTTCTTCACTCTAATCCCTATATCAGCTAACACTGCTTCTTTTTGAGGAAGGCTGCTACAGGTCAGAAATGCATAATACACACATATCCTGGCAATTCCATAACTGCACCAATTGAGTTTCCCGTCGTCGATGGACTTACACTTCACTGACACCTGACATGGTAGACCCATCCTGTAACTAGGACAAAACAACTAGCCAGTTACTGTGTGATTTTTAATGGTTTTTCAGCTGATGTCAGTTACTGACGAAATCTATATTGAAGTTAATCAAGGTCCATACAAAACTCATAATTCGAATTACCTATTAGTCAAGTAATTTTTATTATTGTCGTTAGATGGAGGTTATCGGGAGGAAGCCTTGGATCTAGGTTTAGTGATTGCTGGTACTCACAAGCCGGCAACGAGTATGTGCAGTCTTGTAGGAATTCATTTCCATTTTGTTATTAGAATCCGGACCACCTAGTCCTGCGATTGGAAACATGTTACCACTGGGCTATTCGGACTTGCGATTGACCCAACCGAAAGCTGCTACCTTGACGTGGTGGTGGGGCTTGAACACCGCAATGACCCAACAAGCTATACTGGCTGAGACTTATGTCGCTTGAGGTCCTACCATGCCAGAAAGGTTGTTTGGATAGCGGTTAGACAAAAAGTAGTTACCAAACCCAATGCTACGACTCAAAGTAAATCACAAAATATCAAGCCGGATCGGTCGGGGCCCGGATTAACAACGACCGCGCTTCCTGCTGCCGTGTCACAGGGCAGAAGTGACAAAAATGTGCTACTGAGACACACCAAACAAGAAAGAACAACCAAAAACAGGCCGCGTGTGACTGACCTCAAGCAGTTGTCCCCTGGGCTCTGCGGTCACGCAACCAACTTCCATGGTGTGGGCAGCCGGGAAGTAACAATCGCCCTCACAATCCAAAGTGCACGCGAAACCTCTCTAATCCTCACTCATCTTTGTCTTCATCTTCATCTCTATTATCTTGCCTTCCTTCTACTAATGCAACTCCTCTACTTGATGGCTCTTCACTTCCTCTTCACTCTGTGTGCACTGAAAACGACGGAAGCCAAAAAAAACCAATTGCGATTGGCCTCCTGGAAAACCGTAATGGATACTTTGGTTGGACACTAGGTAGCGGTGACGTCTCTGACTGCACCACTGGTTGACTGGCGTTTGAATCTCAGAAAGGATATAAGTTCCTTCAAGATTTCAGATATGCCTTGCCCACTAGTGAGTGCCAACAAGTACAAAATGTAGGTCTAAGGTTTCCTAATGATTGCCTCCAACCATCTAACAACAATTCGTAATGCACTGTGATGGTGAGTCACCTAGCATGATTTGCCTGATCGAATTCATTCTGTACCGAATGAAGAACTCTAGATGCTTAATATAAGTTATTACCTCTAGTGTCCAATCAAAGCAATTTGCATTATGCATCTGTAAGTAGGTATTATATAATACTTTTATTCTTTTAATCTTTCAGAAATTGATATCCCTAAGTGTACTTTGGCATTGCGTAAACCTGCTTCTGAATCAAGTAATTTAAGTAAATTAGACAACAGTGTTGATATGGATCCAAGAGTTCAATCGACTAATCTTGTAGAGTTGACCAATACCGCCGCAGCCACCACCACCACCACAACAACAACAGCAACGACACCAACGGCAACAAGTACACCTATCACAGCGATGGCTATAGCAAGTCCAACACCACCACCACCACCAACATCAGAAATGTCTTCATCATCATCGTCATTCCTTGGTAGTATAACTAATTCCTTCTCCTTTCCAACTGTCTCCTCCTCATTGAACATGGGAAAAGATTCAATTTATCATCGACAGAAAATGTTTAACAACTCTGAAGGAATTAACAATAATACGAATAATAATATTAATAATAGTAATAATAATAAATCACATCATAATGTTTCAACTGATTGGAATTGGTGGCCATTGAATTTACTCACGTGTATGTTCAGTTCAACTCCTCCACAAAGATTTACAATGTTAATTGCATATGCAATGTAAGTGCGAATGAAATGTAGTCATATTTTTCCTTTTTCCCCATTCTTCTACTTGTTATTTTTCATTTGATGAAATGAGTAACGCGCATTAATTGGGAATATGCAGCGTAGGAAAGGTTTTCTGGATAGAGTTTTGTGTACAAAATTGACTATTTTCAAGTATTGGTTTTGTAGGGATTCTGTTTGATTGGATGGAGGATTTCATCATGAGCTGACATCAGTTACAGAACCACTGGAAAACCTGCAGGGAGTACTGGACAGCTGTTTTGTCCTAGTTTGGGACTCTTCATCAGTACGCGCCCACTGGGATTCGAACCAGGCACTTTCTGGTTACAAGGTGAGCTCGTAGACCATTAAGCCACTGGGACCCGATTCAATGGCCAGTCCATGAATTCTAACTTCTGCCAATTCACGACATAGCGCGACCATTTCGCAATGTCTTCTTCGGTGAGTTACTGCCTCATCTTTGACCTGCAGTACCCTACTGGTCACGGCTTCCCACTAGAACCCCAGGTTAACTGCCTGAATAGGGTCAGTCACTAGTGAGCATCAGATTAATGTAATTAATCAGATTAAACCAATACTTGAAAATTGACTATCTCTGTGTGTGATAATTGTTTTTCTTAGGTGCTTACGTCTGTGAGATATGACCGTTGAAAGTGGGAGAGATATAAATAAGCTAACGGTCTTTGACCATCAATGTTTACATCCTATCTCTCGTATTAGGTAGTATAGAGTATGATAAATAGTATTGATATTAGACGTAGATTGTTAGGTAAGGAGGGGCAAGTCAACCTATTGATTGAAATGTCCAAGGCATATATGATGGGATTTCATCATCGATGAGATGCTTACTGGTGACTGGCCCTATTCAAGTAGGTAGTTACCTGGGTTCTAGTGGGAAGTCGTGACCAGTAGGGTGCAGCAGGTCGGGTGTTAGGACAAATACTCGCCGAAGACATTGACTAGCGGTCACGCTATGTCGTGAATTGGCAAAAGTTGGAATTCATGGACTGGCCATTGGATCGGGTTCCAGTGGCTTAATGGTTTACGAGCTTGCTAGCCTTATAACCAGAAGGTCCTGGTTTCGAACCCCGATGGGGACGCACTGATGGAGAGACCCAAACTAGAGTGAAAGAGCTGTCTAGTACTCGCTGCAGGTTTTCCAATGTTTCTCCCTAACTGATGTCAGCTCATGATGAAATCCTGTAACCAATCAATCAGATCCCTACAAACCAATACTTAAACATATGTTATGCTTTCTAACCTGTTGCCTTCCTCAACAAGCAGTGTTGGGTGACAGAGAATTAGACCGGGGAAGTGTTATGGTGGTCAGTTCAATATACAGCATCAATGCATGAAGTGTTCGACTGTCGGTTTGATCCATGCAGGGGAATTTAGACTGTTAAGTTGGGTTTGTTGAGATACTAAGAACTAATGGCTGAGGACTGTTGTTGACAAAGCCGAAAATGATCCTCAATCAGGGAGATGCATTCACTCTTTGTGATCGTTCAGATTTATGCATTGCTACTCCTGTACATTTCTGTTTATTACAGTTTCTTTGGATTTATTTTTTCTCTACCTATGTGCTTTTATAAAATGTGACAAGTGGATCTGCTGTACCTTGCGCATATTTCTACGTTGATAATTTCACTTCAGTCTATCGTTCAAAGAACTAAACAATTATGACAGTATATTTAATTGAATTTTAGATTTTCCTGTTGATTGATTGAACCGAAGTGCTCGGTCTCTGGTTGACATGTCGGTTTCTTGTGCAGATGCTTCCACGATGTCTGGGCACTTAATTAGTATTTAATTGGTGGATGGTGACTAGCAGTGGAATTCAGAATGCGCATTTCGTCCTATTTGGGACTCGTCAGCACAAGAGCTGGCTCTCATGGCCCAAGTCGTCTAGTGGATAGCGCTTGGCGTTTGAAACTATAGGCACTGGGTTCGAGCCTCGGAACATCATCACTCACTGAGAAATGCAGGTGCATCCAGTGACGAGTCTCAAATAGGACGAAATGCAGATGCTGGATTCCACTGCTAGTTACCAGTTAAATTATGACAGTAGTGTAGAGTTTGGAAGGGCATAAATGCAAGTTTTGTGCTTGTTGACAAATTAGTGATAAATTTTTTAAGCCTTGGCTAACAGTGATGTAGGTTCGAACCTTTTATGGATGTGTGTTTGTTTGACGTAAGCTTTTCATACTTTTTTGTGTGATAAATAGTAATGAATGCTGATTGGACTAAAAGCAGTTACCATCTGAGTGTAAGTTGTTTACACTGTGTTGGTGGTCTATGGGCGAAGTCGTACTGCTAGAGAATAGGGTTGTAACAGCAGTAAGGTGTTTCCCTCAGATGATCAACATGAATGACTGACTGACTGGTTTCAAGATACAACTTTGCACCGATTTGCAGAAGTTCGAGTCGCCACACTTCACTCAGCACACAAAGCCAGAGAAGAAAGTAAAACAGAAACGCAAAATAGAGACAGTAAACAGAGATATGAGGCAAAAAGAATAGTAATATCAAAGAACAATATAGTTTCATTAGGTATTATAAGTCACAAGGAGTCGATGCATCTGTGACAGCCATCACTGAGAACGATTTTGAGCCATATCACCAATTGTCTCCAACCAGTGGTGTTTACCCTCCCGAGGACCCCAACCAGGAAGTCCACACCTTCCTACGTGGCTGGCTTAAACTAATTGTTGTGGATTTCATTGACTGAGGAAGCCATGTTTTGGTTTGACCACCACAGCTAACATTGCCCGTCGAGGTAGGCGATGGCTAGACATACGTAACACATCTCCTAACCATCTCAGTCGGTGTAACTTCACAGTCTCGTCTGTTGATTTCTCCTCCTTACCTAGCATGATCAACATGCCACTTATGCTGCCTCTCCACTCTGAAGAGTCTGTGGCGGGCGGTGGCTAGAAAACGTCGACTCCGAAAATTGTACATCTTGACTTACCTTGCAGCTGTCCGTAGCACAAACACACACAGCGGTGTGTGACTGGCCTCAAGCAGTTGTCCCCTAGCTTCTGTGTGGTCAAACAACACCAATGCTGTCGCTGTTTCAGGTACCCAAAGAAATCAATTCCCATGGTGAAGGTAGCCGGGAAGCAACCACCGCCCACACCTTACCAGTCAGTGTGTGTTGTCCGATTAGTATTTTATGTATCGCATTTCTCTATGATGTACATCCAGTTTGTGTTTAATTGAATAACTGAAAATTAAGTTTAAATGCCTAAAGTGTAATTATTATAATATTATTATTATTGTTGTTCCCTTAGGTTCCTAGTGGAACATAGGGCTTCAACTGCACGTCTCCACTTGCTTCTGTCTTCTGCTGTACTTTTCACCTGCATCCATGTTATTCCATACTGTTTCAACTGCTCTTCACACGATCTCCTCCATGTCACCCTTGGACGTCCCACCCGCCGCTTCCCTTTCGGGTTCCACTCGAGGGCCTGACAAGCCTCGCCTAGATTACTAGCTCGCTAGTTTTCTAGCCGGTCCCAAGCCCGGATAAAGAAGGAGGGTTGGGGCGTGGTGCTAGCAACTCCACCCCCAAAACTTAACCAAATTGCTACAGAAACTTCAACGCATAAATATATTAAAAATACTAAAAATATAAATAATAACCTTATTTTTCGCTGGAATCAGGGAAGTGAAATGACGCAGGCTGGTAAAAGCCTTCGGGAAGCCAGTCAGCCGATGTGCCTCCTTTCGATGAAAGCAAAAATAAGGATGGGGACGTGGAATGTTCGTACAATGTACGAAGCTGGAAAGGCTGCCCAGCTAGCCGCAGAAATGAGCCTAAAGTGTAATAAGTTACAATAAATGTTTCCCTTTGTTGAATAGCTAACTGACTGATGTTTGTGTATGTGTGTGCGTATGTAGTTCTTTAGTTTAGATTGACCTATATAAACATTATATATATATATATCCATATTCCTTCTAATCAATTTTTGTCTTTATGGCAATCAATCTACTTTTACAGTAGTTGTTACTCAATCATTTCTATTCTGATGTTTACCTATAATACCAGATATATTTGTGTGTGTGTTTGTGTGTATCAATGATCACGTGATTATTATACAATCTTGAATAAGTATAAGAGATATATCATGGGATGAGTGGTTGTTTCATATAATATACATCACAAACAGACACACAACTGCATGCATGCACACATACAGTACAATTATGGGAATTGGCATATATAATATATATAAGCAGTGGTTTACATAGAAAGAAGCAACTTTAGCTTCGTCTCTGTAGTTGCAGTTTGTTTGTTGTTTTGATTTTTCTCTCATTTCTTCTATTCATCACCTGAATAGATTGAATTTCATGAAGAGTTTTACATAGAAAGCGATCATCTCCATGTTAGTGTTGCTAACTGGAAGCGAATCAATCAGTTTTTGACACTATTTAGTTGGATGCGTAGTGTTGTTGACTGTGAAACCTTAACGAGAGTGACTTGGTTTCTTATATATGTGGTTATGAAAAGGTGACTTACTAGCTTACACACTTGGCTTTCAGCAAGTTGGTCCCGAGTTCGAATCCCCCTTCACCTACTAGACTCAGGGTAACACTAGATGTTACAATTAGCCGTCATTCATTAAGTGTGGCTCATATAGACTGGTATACGAAAAATCAGTTCCGAGTATTCGTTATTATTATTATTGTTCACTTGGGTTCCGAGTAAAACATAGGGTTTCAACAGCATGTGTGTTTAGCTGGCTTCATGATTGTCCGTAAGCGAATATCTCCGCCACTATGCCACCTTCCAACCCACTCCCAACTCCTCGCTAGTCTATATTGGCTTCCATTCGAGGGCCTGGCGCACAATGTCACTCAACGGTCTCCTCAGGGTGTATCCAATCCATCTACATTTTGCTTCTTCATATTTATTGGTTAGTTCGTTGTCAGAATTCATTGTTGCTTATCCTTTCTGACCATGTTATCTTCAGTGTAAGATGAAGGCAGCT